ACACACACACAGATAATTGCACACAGATTCAAACTCACACCACTGTAGTACTCAGGTACACCAGATGAGGGCGATACAGGGTTTGGAAGTGCTAAATATACAGACATCCTACATATGCAAAACACTAACACAATATATGCAGACATATACACTCTCATATGTATGCATGTGTGTGTGCTACTCTGAAGAGATATAAAAAAGATTCCTCCATTTTCTAAGACTTCAAGTCTATATTTTTCTACACATCCTACACAAACACAGTCTAACAGACACATGCTGCCCACAAACACACAGCGCTCTCTAGATTCTGCTCAAAGAGGAAAGAGTGCCTCATAGACTATTAACACCAACAAAAGAAAGGCAAACCAAAAATATGGATCAAAGAAACAACTGTTATCGCACAGTGAAAGTCAGCTGTTAGACTATAAGGGATAGTTCACCCAAAAATGAAATATTTGTGATTATTTACTCACACTCACGTCAATCCAAACCTTTCTTCCATGCAACGCAAGAGATGTTACAGAACGTTCACATTGCGCTTTTCCACACAACAAAATCAGACCAGAAGCTGTCAAGCTCCAAAATGCACTATAAAAATGGCTGAATCATATGATAACTTTGTGTGAGAAACAAGCTGAAATTTCAGTTATAATTCACTGTAAATCTTGCCCTCCACCACAGGCCTCAAACTTCACTCTAGACTAGTTTTGCTACATTTTGATTAGTCACATGACAATGAATAACAAACTTTGGTATCACTCATTTTATCATTTCATTTAAAACTGAACAACACAAACAAGACTTAAATTTCAGTCTGTTTTCATTCATTCACACAAAACTTCAAAAGACTTGAAATACATAGTGTTCAAGTCACATGCACTACTTTTCTGGTGTTTTTTTTTTAGCCCCTTAAAGCTATTTGCTTTCATTGTATGGAAAAAAAGCAGTGTCACCATTCTGACTTACATCTATAAAAGAAAAAAATTCACGTCATTTTGGAACAACATGAGGTTGAGCAAATGGTCACAGAACTGTCATTTACAGGGGAACTATCCCTTTAAGACGTAGATCGCCTTGGTGCATGAGTGTGTTCGAACCCCTATGCGTGTGAACAGAGGTGAAGTGTGTTTTGGCAGGGTGCTATGCTCCCTCTTCACACTCGTTCTACCCAGGGCACATCAATCATCTCGTGCCGCCTGTTGCTGTAACACCTGGTTGAGAGATACACTTACATACGCATACACTCACTTACACACCCTTTCATTCATCACCGTCAACCCTCGCTGTCCTCACACACTCTCCCTCGTCTGGCAAGCTAACCCTGGGCTGACCCCTGACCTTTATGCACACTCGATTGGCTGTTTAATGACGCATTTAATCAGGCCGCAGATGATAAGGCTGGGTCAACGACCGCCAGAAGGGTTTTAGGTAGCTCATAAACAACACACACACACACACACATGAATGGAAGCAGGAATTAAACCATTATCGCCACTGCACAGTAAATGCGAAGCGCACACACACACACACACACACACACACACACACACACACACACACACACACGCATACAGCAATATATCAAATGCACATTTAAATCACATTTGTATCAAGAAACACACCCTCAAATTCACATCCCAACCAATCATGTTTAAGCAACACAGCACAACACCAAGGGATGATGGGAAAGCAGAGCTAGCTGATGGTTAAACGGCAACAGAGCAAGAGCAGTTCTGCTGAACTTATATAAATATAGAGAGGGACAGACAGAGGGAGAAAGAGAGAAAGACTGGAGAAGAAAGAGACAAATAGAATCACTGAAAGAGAGAGACAAACATGCAGAGAGAAAAAAAAGACAGAAAAACAGACAGTCAGGTAGAAAAAGAGACAGACAGACAGACGGAGAGAGAGAGACATCAGGGCTAGACAATAAGGACTGACCTGATGAAATTGTCACGGCGTCATTACGTAAGTTTATCATTTGCTGGCGTTTAGAAGATGTCAATATTAACATTAAAGCAATTTAAAAACCATTTAAGATGCGAAAAGAGAACTCTCCAAGATGGGCATTTGGACATATTTTGGTCTGTTTTTGTCCACTATAGCATTATTAGATGCGAAAGAAATGGTTTATGTAAAAATAACAGTTTTGGAGAGTATTAAGTAAAGTGAACATTAACATCCTGAAAAAAAATCCATGTGTATCAGTATAGTGGATCCGTGCATTCAGTCTTAAAGTGACAGTTGCATACATGTAAAACCTGCTGCGGTTTAGGCAGTTCACTCCAAAATGAATATAGTCATAATTTACTCCCTCTCAAGTTGCTCCAAAGCTACATGAACTTCTTCAGTTGAACCCAAATTAAAAAAAAAACTTGAATATTGGTAACCAAACAGTTGATGGTAGCCACTGACTTCCATATTATAGAAAAAAAAATACTATGGAAGTCAATGGCTACCGTCAACTACTTGGTAACAACATTATTTAAAATAACTTATTTTATGTTCAAAAGAAGAAACAAACAACTAAAGTGGAGGGTGAGTAAATGATGACAAAATGTTCATTTTTGGGTGAACTATCTCTTGAATGTTAAACAACAAAAGAAAAAGGGGAAATCATTAACTGCTTTTGACTGAATAACTTTTGTGTGTGTAATCTACATTTAATTTATACAGTGAAGACTATGGATTGTTATTTTACATTTGATTATTCTTATCTATTTCTTATCGGAATACTACCTGAAAAGCACTGTATTTCATTTGTAGGACTTTTCTATTGTATTTATCTGTGCTATTGCTTGTAATTTGTTCATTATTGACTGTTTGTTTGTTGTAATGTTTTAACTTAGTATTAGTTTTTGATGTGCTATCAAATGGGAATTGAAAACTGTGAAACTTCAGTGTTAACCAAATAAAAAATGTTGGTGTTGTAACAACTTTATTTATTAGAAACATCGGCTCAAAAACAATGAAAACTAACTTTTTTTCTTTGTGGTGGGACAACGGAAAATTTCAACCGGGCAACATAAAAATCATTGCGTTGAGCCCTGGACATGCAGAGAGAGAAAGACAGACAGACAGAGCTGAAGACAGAAGAAGAGATCACAATACAGAATTACAAAAGAGAAAGAGAGAAACCACAGAAAGAAAAACTGACAGAGAGAAGAGTTAAAAAAAGAAGAGGAAAAGAGTTCGGCTGAACTAATAAAGATACCTTCTGTAGAACAGTTCCTGCCGCAAGCGGTCTGTTGTATATAGAACATCTCACGGAAAGAGCGTGGACCTTCCCATACGAAGCATTTAGAAAGAGAGAGAGGAAGAGAGGATGGAAGAGAGATACAGTAGAACAACAGAAGTAAAGAATGGAGAGTCGAAGTATAAAAGAAATAAAGAGGAAGTGGCCTGTGACTCAAGAAGAGGAGGAGAAAAAGAGAGGCAGAGCAGCGAAAGAGTGCAGAGCAGGTGCTGCTGAAGCAAACAGAAGGTATCTGAACACCAAACGGCATGCATGCTGCAAATCTGACTCTCCCATTGCCTACCAGATCAACAGATAGAGGACCTCAGTGTCCGGAACATCAACATCACTGTGTAATAACTCGGCGTTATTAATATTACTGTAGAGAATTATTAAAATTAACACACTCTCTAATATTGTACAATATAATATAATATAATATAATAATTAACCATCAGGGCGGTCATTAGTATTAGGGCTGCACAATATTGGAAAAAACTCACATTGCAATATATTTTTTTTCTGCGATATATATTGCGATTTGGGAAAAAAATCAGATGACTTCAATAGCTCTATTTGGAAAAAAAAAAATCAATGATTGGGGTGATTTTGTAGGCAAGTAAATCAGCATAGGAAATAAACAAATTACAAGCATAGATAAATAACAGAACAAAGATACAAATGAAATAAGCAGTGCTTTATATTTTTCAGGTAAGTCTAACAGTATTCAGGTACAGAAACTGAATAATCAAATGTAAAATAACACTGCAGTTTTCACTATAAAATCTAATAAATCTGTGTTAAAGCTACAAAAGTGATTTTTCTGTGTTTTGTTGTTTGATTAACATTTATGACAGAGAGAGCAACAGGAACATTAAACTGATGTGAACCAATATACTGTTACACATCCATTTTCTTTCTCAATTGTTTCCCTTCGCCTAAGCCATAAGCAACTGTGTTTACAAGGATACTTGCAGAGCACAGTATTTCAGGCACAAATAGACGCAGAAGTGAACCGAATTCAGTGTTCACGTGCATCTGCGTGGATCTCACCGCGTCTACACTGGACGCGAGCGGTATGGCGCGGCGCGACAAAATACAATAGAACTCATTATAATCAGTGATGCTGTCTGTCTACACTGGATGTGGCGCAACACGACAAATCCCCGACAGTAAACTGATGCCTCATTCTCTTTATGATGTACTGACACAAAGTTCAAATGATATGCAATGGTCGCTTTGTCACGTCCAGTGTAGACAGACTTTGGGGCTGTTCACATATTGCGCCTAAAAACGTGTGGAAAACGCCAGCTGCGCCGCTTTCTCCAAAACGCTCGGGAGCTTGCACTTTCGTGGCATCTGCCATTGCTAAGCAACCGTGACCTGCACTCTCCACGACGACGCGAAAGTTTCAACAAAGGATAAATGGATTTCCAGCACTGAAAATCGTTTGCAGTAGTTCTGCTAGTAAATTTATTTCAAATGGGTATCTCTGTACAGCTGTCGCGTCTGGTGTAGACGCGGTGTCTGTGTGTGAGCAAAGAAAACGATCAGTATAAATATAACGATCAGTATACTAAACATCGCACATCCTGATGCTAAAACAATATATCGTGCAGCCCTAATTAGTATGTGTTTTTTGCAGTTGATATTTGGTTTGTTTTAATAATATAATATAATATAATATAATATAATATAATATAATACAAGTCAACTGTGTCTAATAGACAGTAGATGGTTACTTGAACACACACACACAGTTGTACGAGAACAGCAGTGGCATTACTATTTGATTAAGAGAAACAGGAATTTTTGAGTACACTACATAATTGTTATCTGTACTTGCTATCTTTAACTCCTTTGTCTTTAGCAAAGGTTTGATGCAACATGAAACTTTAACACGCACCCACACATATTTGCATGCTTCAACTGTAGCATGTGACACACTTTCTTCTGTGTATTTTTCTCACATGAAATCAACGTCGTAAACGTGTGGCTAGTGTCGGACAGGCGGGTTTTCCGAGTCGAGGGTAATGGCATGTTCTAGGAAGCAGGCAGCTACAGCGGTGCAAATATTGACAAGCTCGTTTAAGGCTCAAACAGTGAGAGTCTGGATACAGTAAGACAGGAGATCTCAGTGTACCTGATAAAGCTGTTTGAACTTGCTGTTTTGGCAGTGGCTGATGTTCAGTGAACAAGAAAAACAGAAGGGGAGGGAACTAGAAAACAGAAGGGGGAATGAACGGTTGAGCACCCAAAAAGGTGAACGGGTTGAGAGAGATAGGAAGGGAGGATGGTATGTGAGGTAGACAGATAGAGAGATAAATAAAGAATGGCTGTAGAGGACAAAAACAAAAAGTTATGAGGTGATTCATCTCCGTCCCAACTAGGTGAAACATGAAACATCTCCGCAGAGAGCAAAATAATGTGAAGCAAAAAACACAGCTAATGAGGACTTCAAGTCATGATATGTTACATATTTGAATTTTGGACCAATGAGATTTCAATGTGGGTGGAGCAGTTAAAATAGAGTGCAGCCTTGCTTGACCGCTTTTTCAGCTGCCTTGGTTCTGGAAGGTTTTTCATTCTATTTGGGATATTAAAAAAGTATTTGTTAAAGAATGATAGGCTATGAGCCAAACCAACTAGCTTTGAGGTGAATCACAAAAGGTACAAGACTGTGTAAAGAGCTACAGTCCCATTGTTAAAGATGTAATTTAATTAAAACCTAAAATATAAATCCGTTATTGATTTTATATAAACACTTATACTAAACACTATAAATTGTACAATTATATACGTTTACAAAATAAGCATTATCTTAAAAATAGTGCCTGTTCCAAATTTTTAGAAATATGCCTTGTGTATTCATTTTGGTTTCATATTGTTTTGAAGAAAATGTTTATTTTCAAAAATTACATTTAATGACTGAATCAATGAGTACATTTTAATTTAATGACTCTAGGTGTAGACGCGGTGTCTGTGTGTGAGCAAAGAAAACGATCAGTATAAATATAACGATCAGTATACTAAACATCGCACATCCTGATGCTAAAACAATATATCGTGCAGCCCTAATTAGTATGTGTTTTTTGCAGTTGATATTTGGTTTGTTTTACTAATATAATATAATATAATATAATATAATATAATATAATATAATATAATATAATATAATATAATATAATATAATATAATATAATATAATATAATATAATATAATATAATATAATATAATATAATATAATATAATATAATATAATATAATATAATATAATATAATATAATATAATATAATATAATATAATATAATATAATATAATATAATATAATATAATATAATATAATATAATATAATATAATATAATATAATATAATATAATATAATATAATATAATATAATATAATATAATATAATATAATATAATATTTGGTTTACTAATATAATATAATATAATATAATATAATATAATATAATATAATATAATATAATAATTAATTTAGGTTTGTTTTATGATCAATTATTTAAAATGTATTAAGGCCTGTTCACACCAAGGACGATAACTATAAAGATAACGATAAATATATAGTTCTAAAAATCGTTCTCAATATTAAAGAATAGCAGAGTCCACACAACAACTATAATGATAAAGACAGGTGGACGCTAATATCGTTATCTTTATAGTTATCGTTCTTGGTGTGAATGGAGCTTAAGTAATTTGTTTGTGTAAGGTTATACAAACCTTACATCACCATAGATACAGACAGCGGCAAGCAATCTCCATGGTGACCATGGAATGGCAAAATATAGCAATACAACGCCACAAATCATGCAGTGAACCACAAACATTCCCACCAACTCTAAACCATAATATGCAAATATTTGTCCTAATTAATCTGTAAAAGCCAAACCTATCATTATATAATCCAATTATACATATATATACTTAAAGATTTTGTTATAAATAAAGTACAATTATTTCTAAAAACACACCATTTAAAATTTAGAATTTTTAAAATGTAAAAAAGATTTACAATTTCAAACATTGTTACAATAAATCCCAACCCCTGGCATTTATTTTCAATCCTTCACTAAATGCTAAAAATCCACTTGCATGTCTATCCTGCAGCTAAAGTCATCTCTAAATTGCATAGATCATCACATTAACATAAAGCATCCAAGCACTCACCTGTGATGTCAAACCATAAGGAGGCGGAGCCTTGCTGTTGGGCAGAGACCACGCCTACGATGTCCGCCACTTTATCAGTTTCCATGACGGTGAAATTGTAAAGCTGCTCGTCGAAGGCGAGAGGAACGGGGCTGGCCGGAGGACGGCGGATCCACTCGATGTGCAAACGAGCCGTCGCCCAGCGCTGAGGACGTCCATTATCCACTGCCTTCACCTGCAGTCAGAAGTTAAACGCACATCAGGAAGACAAGAACACCAGGCATTAAAAGGGCTGAACTGAAATGGAAGAATGCATCCAGTGAACGAACCTTTTAGAAGAAAAAGAAATTTAAAATGTCAACTCCCTCATTAAGAGAATTGAGCTGCTATATATGTCAAGGGAGTTTTCCAAGACCTAGAAATTATTATTTATGAGTTTACACTCCTGGTTAAACCTGGTGAGACTATTTCTTGTCCTAATATCAAATATGGATGATTTATATAATTCCAATTAGGTAGGGGAAAAATTGGCATGTTTATGGAACATGTCAGGTATTTGGTGCATGAACAAAGTGGTCTAAACAGCTCTAAACATGGCCAAGATGGTCTACCAAGTTTGCTTGCTAGTTTGTTTGTTTATTTATTTATATTTTTATTTTATTTTCTGTTTTATTTTATTCTATTCTATGTTATTATTCCATTTTATATTTTATTTTGTCTGTTTTATTATTCTTTTTTATTTTTATTTTTTTTATTATTATTTTATTCTTTTTTGTTTTGTTTTATTATTCTTTTATTTTATTTTAGTCACATAATATAAAACACTGTATTTCATTTTATAATCACATGCATGTGTGAGATTAACTTAGAAGCTCAAGGGCCAAAGGTGACTCACGGTAAGAATATCATAGGTTCCAGCTGTGAACTGTTTCTTGGGTGATGAAACCACACCGGTTTTGGCATCGATTACGAACTTCCCATCCTCGTTGCCATCGACGATGCTGTAGGAGAGTTCAGCGTTGGCGCCCTGTTTTTTGTTTTGTTTTATTATTCTTTTATTTTATTTTAGTCACATAATATAAAACATTCATTTTATAATCACATGCATGTGTGAGATTAACTTAGAAGCTCAAGGGCCAAAGGTGACTCACGGTAAGAATATCATAGGTTCCAGCTGTGAACTGTTTCTTGGGTGATGAAACCACACCGGTTTTGGCATCGATTACGAACTTCCCATCCTCGTTGCCATCGACGATGCTGTAGGAGAGTTCAGCGTTGGCGCCCTGGTCTTGGTCGTAGGCGAACACCCGATAAATAGGAGCGCCTCGCTGTTTACGGGTGCGCTCGGGTAAACGGACCTGGTACACCTTCTCTGGAAATGTTGGTTTGTTATCGTTAACATCCAACACCTGGATCACCACCCATACTGTGGTGTGTCTGGGAGAAGGACCGCCATCTGATACAGTCACCTGGACACAAAAACAGTGATGAGCATGAGGATAAAACTCACATTTGCATTCAAAACACTAATGTCTTTGAAAGAAGTATTTTCTGTTCACCAAGGCTGAATTTATTTGATCAAAAATACAGCCAAAAACCGTAATATTGTGAAATATTATTACAATTTAAAATAGCTGTTTTGAATATATTTTTAAAATGTAATTTATTCCTGTGATGCAAAGCTGATTTTTCTGCATCACTACTCAGTGCCTTCAGTGCCACATGAATCTTCAGAAATCATTCTAATATGCTGATTTGCTGCTCAAGAAACATTTTAATTTCATTTCATTTAATTGTGGGGCGAATTACAGATTTGTTCAGATCAAACTCGAAGCATGAGTTACAGCACAAGAGATGCTTGCCTTAGTAAACACTACTATTCATGGTAAAAAACCATTATAGATGGACAGGAAAGGAGAAATAAGATTCTCTATGACCTAGTGATCTTCTACATATTTTTTCTCTCTGTAGAACGGAGGGATGATGAGTCATGTTCCGCTTTTCTCTCATTTCCTGTTTCTGATATTCGGTCCATTTTTCTTTTTCATTAGCAAACATGCCCATCGCTCATCCACCAATCAGCACGGCCGCACGTGGCCGCCGGCCAATCAGAAGAGTGCAGTGGAACATTTAAATGATATCATTAAAAACAAAAGACATTGTGTGCGCCATCCATCTCGGCAACAACAACAGAACGATTAATTCAATTCACTTTATTCATTTCCTTTCACAGACTGCCGTGCCACGCCTGTACAAATTCAATATGTCTGTCTGAGAGAAAGAAAGAGGGAGCAATAAATGAGAAAAAAGAGGGGGATTGTAATAAATTAAAGGGGCATTTGGTCTGTGGAATGTTTGGGTGTCAAGGGATCACACGGTGAACGGGTAACATAACATGAGTGACAAGTTCGTTCTCAAAAGATCAACACGACAAATCGCTTTTATTACAAACACAAAACACCCACTTGAAACACTTTTGCACTTAAACATACTAGCAGAGCAAGCATTTTGAATTTCAAACAGGCGTCTATAGGACTCAGTCAGAACCCGTCGATAATGTTGCGTTCATATGAAGTGAAAATTGTCGTAATTCTCCCGTCCCTCACAAAATTGATCTGCAATTTGGAGGCAGTGCAAATTAGCATGGCTCGCAGCTCTCACACCTGATGTGTGTTTGTGTGAACGGAGCTATATGTGTCAATGTGGGTTTGCATGAGTGTGTCTCACCTCCAGTACGTGCTCAGCCTGTTGTTCACGATCCAGTTTCCGAGAGGTTGTGGTAATCAGACCTGCAACACACAAAATCATTCGTTTTAGCAGGCGCTTTATAAATATTCTTTGATCCAACCACTTCTGCAGTCTCTAACTACAAGTAAAGACAGTTATTTAAGTTTCACAAACCTTAAATTCACAAAACCAGCTTCATTGTTGTTAGATGAAATTCACTAAAAGTAATGATTACTTAGAGTTTTTGATACCGTAAGAGAACAACATAGAGTTTTTGAATGATTCTGTTAAAATAATGATATCATACGAGTCATTTGCTTGTGAATCGGTCAGCACTGGTCTCGCTACATGCAGCAACTCAATAGTTTCCTTCCCATGGTTTTGTGATGCACAGTTTTTCCTCCTCATGTTCAGTTCAGACTACAAGCATAGACCGGATACAAATGTAATTTCTTTGGCATGGCGCTATAGATTGAGCAACAGACCAGTACTGTTGAAAAGCACTGAAGGGAACACTAAAAAAAAACAAAAAAAAAACATTATACATGATATATAGTAGTGAGAGAAAAAATGACTGAAAGATAAACAAGTAAGCAAATAAATAATATAAACAAAACAAAGTATGCAATAAATAATAAAATATGAATAGTAATAAATAATTTACAAATTTTTGGGTCAGAAAGGATTCATTATTCAGCAAGGATGCATTTAATTGAACAAAAGTGACAGTAATAACATTTACTGTATAAAATGACAAAAATTCTGTTTCAAATAAATGCTGTTCTTTTGAACGTTTTATTCAATAAAGAATCCTGAAAAAATTTAGCACTGTTTCCACAAAATACTGAGCAGCAAATCAGCATATTAGAATGATTTCTGAAGGATCATGTGACACTGAAGACTGGAGTAATGATGCTGAAAATTCAGCTTTGATCACAGGAATAAATTATATTTTAAAGTATATTCACATAGAAAATGGTTATTTTAAACAGTAATACTATTTCACAATATTACATATTTTACTGTATTTTTATCAAATAAGTGCAGCTTTGGTGAGCAAAAGAGACTTTTTATGAAAACATTTAAAAATCTCATGGAACCCAATTTTTAGGTAATAATATATTACCTATAATGAATATGGGTAGTGCAATTTATTAAAAAAAAGTTTTTTAATAAAGTTAAAATTACAATCGAAAAGATTATACTTTATCATTACAAAAAACAATTTTTGCTATGTTGATTTTTTTATTTATTTTTTTACTTTTGTAGCCCTGCTGTTGTGCTCCTTCAGTAACGTTCTCCGTGGCTCGTCAAAGTGCTTGCGGGTCCTTAAGTATGCTTTCTGATCAGGCGCATCCCAGGGCGCCCCATCACTGACCCATATCAGAGATGAAGAGAGACACAAGGAGGAAGAGAAAGAGAGGGGGCAGCTGTGTTGAATCGAGTCACAGCGGCGCAGGGCACTCGTACTGAGAGAGAGAAAAAACGGAAGGAGGAAACAAAAAGAGGAGGACAGGAGAGGACGGGAACGTGGGTGGGGGCAAACAAAAAGACCAGAGACAAAAGTTTGCTGATGACATCATGCCTGTAACACACACACACACACACAGTCCGCTTGAGGCCCCACTGGATAATTGCTGCTGCCTGAATGGGGTTTACTGGTCATAGTGGGCAAGCGGGGTCTTAACGTCTACAGACTTCTGATCTCATCGTCATGGCAACCAGAGGCTTGTTACACAGCTACCACTCTTGACCGGCGTGTGTGGGAAAGTAAGTCCGCATACGGGGGCAAAATGGACGGATTAGAGCTTTAATGTTGGACGCCGAACACCCACGCAGGCTTTTTATGCGACGTCCATAATATAGGGTACTCGAAAAAAACAAATCCCCCAGACGCACACTTTCATATAGTTGAAAGTTTCTCTTAAAGGGACAGATCACCCAAAAATGAAAAGTCTGTTATCATTTACTCACCCTCATGTCATTTCAAACCTGAGTTTCTTTCTTCTGTTGAGTACCGTAGAATATATTTTGAAGAATATTGGTAACCAAACAGTTGACGGTACCCATTGACTTTCATAGTATGGAAAAAAAAAATACAATGGAAGTCAATGGCTACCGTCAACTGTTTGGTTACCAACATAGTCCAAAATATCTTCTTTTGTGTTCAAGAGAAGAAAAACTCACACAAGTGACATAAGTCTGAGAAAGAATTTTCATTTTTGGGCGATCTATCCCTTTAACCTACTTTTAACTAACAGCAATGGATTTGGTAATGAGGGTGTCTTTGTATAAGGATCCAATCAGTGAGAATGAGTGTGCGCTTAGCTAAAGAACAGCTGCATTCACTGCATATTAGCATATTAATTAGAGCGACGAGTGATTACAAGCAATTAACTAAAACAGCAACAGTATACAACAGCATACCTATACAGGCCAGTTATCTATTGCGTTTGGAATATACATGAGATGTAGCTTCCTTTTTATCTTTTTAGTTTTTGAGTTATTTTATAATCGCCACATGCATTTATTTCACGGTGCATTTGTCTTTTGTTCCTCCACAGTCGTTAAAGGTTCATACGGGAGGCCTTGATTTCCCAAGAAACTCATTGTGGATAAAAATAACGTCGAAACCTTTGGAAACTGTCGGCGTTGCGTGTGTTTTGTGCGTCGAATGGCTGCAGGTGGGAATTGGCCCATATGAGTGTGTCTGTGATTCACTGGCGGGGTCGGCGTCATAAATTCGAAACATGCACCAAATGAACATAGACCGGCCACACACACACACACACACACACACACACACGCATGCTGAGATCACACTGCATCTATAAATCAAGAGCCGTCTGAAAAAGACAAAGAAACAAGAGAGTGGCAGATTTCAGTTTCAGCAGAGGCGATTCATGCTGGTTTTTAAATTGCACACTTTTTCTAAGTGTCAAACGGCATCCATAATTTATAGCGAGCCTTTGCACTCGTCATACACAGTACACAGTCGTTTGCACTGATTGAAAAAAGTCTTACACAGATTATTTTTAATAAACGACATGATTAAACAAGTTTATTTAAATGCATACATTTATCAAGTAAATGTCATAAATGGTTTGAAACAGTTTTTATCCACCTTTTGAACTTGAACAGCTATTTTCAGTATTTCTGCTTTAATTATAACTATTTTATAAAGAGAAACTGGGATTACTGATATATTAAGGTAATTCACCATGAGTCATTTTATAATTCCAGGAATTTCATGTGTATGTCCTTTGATAAAAACAACAATATCAGATTACATCTTGATTTTGTGCTTAATTTAATATATTAGTAATGCATAATTAATTTTAAATATGAAAAAGTTAAATATTTATTAAATATATTAATAATTAATATATAAATATAATATATAAAATATATTAAGAGATTATTGAAATATTAATAATAATGTAATTACTTATTCATCATAATCTTAATCTTTATACATAGAGTAATCTTAAGTAAACACCCTCTGTCAGTTATTCAATGTGCATGTCTTCACTAAAAAATATAAAAAGTATACAAATAATATATATAATAAAAAATAATTTTAAATCTCATGCAAACAATGTTTTCTTGACAAAGAAATAATGAAAACAGTAAGGCACAAAACATTTTATGCAAGCACTTGAATGCAAACTACAAAAGCTTTCAGAATGTCTTATTAGGAATTTGAACCATTAAAGGTGGGGTAAGCGATTTTTCCAAAAACCCTTTAGAAAACAGATTCGGCCCAAATAGCAAAACAAACTTGTAGCCAATCAGCAGTAAGGGGCGTACGCGTCTACTCATGATGTGGAGGAGAGCATTCAGTGCACGGGACGGACATTAGCCGAGCCGAGCGACAGAAAGATAGAGATGGCGGATAAAAAACAAAAGAGGAAAACCTCTGCAGAACAAAAGAAGGCTTAAGGCTAGGCCTGTCACGAATCAGGTAATACAAATGTCAACATTGGCTACCAGAAATCGCTTACCCCACCTTTAAAATAAAAGTTATCATAAGAAGAACTATTTACAATTATGCATTATTTTTAGGTAACTAATCAAATGTACACTACCATTCAAAAGCCTGTTTTGTTTTTGCGCAAGTCTCTTTTGCTCGCCAAGTCTGCATTTATTTGATTAAAAATACAGTAAAAACAGTAATATTGTGAAATATTACAATTTAAGATAACTGTTTTCAATTTGAATATATTTTAAAATGTAATTTATTCCTGTGAGCAAAGCTGAATTTTCAGCAGCATTACTCCAGTCTTCAGTGTCACATGATCCTTCAGATATCATTCTGATCATTCTTGCTGCTCAAGAGACATTTCTTATTATTATCACTGGTCGTGCGTGGGTTCATACGTTTCTTGGGTATATTTCTGGCCTAATTCTGTCAGTACATTACAGATAAAACATAAGACTTTATAAAGAAACGCCACCAGAGAAGTACTTTAAAGATATGGCTTATTACTGCTCCTCAGGCCATGCTATCGCAGAAATGACGAACGATGCTTTTGATAAAACTCCGGGAGTCGTCTATTATTCCAAATGATCCATTATGGAGGATAATCAGAACGATCGCAATCACGGTGAGCAGAACGAATGCGGATCTCCGCGCCGTATCGCTGGTTCAAGAACGGAGAAAACAGGGTGTTTACATGCTGTAGAAGATGCAGTGATTATCAGAGCCACAGCAGACTGAGAAACAGAGAGCGCTATTCTTAGAGTCTTTCATCATGAGGAGTAAGACAGAACAGAGCGAGAGAAAGATGGAAGGATGTTAAGGAGTCGCAGGGGGAAGGAAAGGAAGAGTAAGAAACCGAGAAAGACAAAAAGACACGTAAGGCCTTGTGAACGAGAGAATGGGAGGGTGATACAGCGAGAGAGGGAGGAGAGGAAGGCGTTAGGAGAGGATAAGAGAGAGATGAGGATGAGACGGAGGGGGAGGAAAGACAAGGAGAAGAACTCGGGGTTGGAGGAGACGAAACTCCAATGTGTGAAACCCGCAGACGAGATTCACAGAGACACAAATTACTGCTGAGAC